GGAAAGAGTAAAATATAAATCAGAAAAACCAGGTCTTTGGAGCAAGCAGGGAGCTGGGGCCTACTGTGGGAAGACAGGACTGATGCTGGACGCCCCCTGCTGGAGAGGATGTGGCATCTCACTGGCTCCCAGGAAGGAAGGTTGTTTGCCTCAAAAGGAAGTGAATTTAGTAAGAGGAGGCTGTCATGTGGAATCCCCCTCTCTCCTCACCACCCCACCAATGCCTAGTGATATCTAGAGCACAGGATCTCCTTCCACCTACACGGAGATCTAGTTTACACGTGAGTCTTGACACCTGGACATCAATTACCAGCTCAAGAAAGCTCTGAGTGGGGGGATTAAGGAGGGTCACGTTCTGCCTAAGTGCCTGCAGTCCTCTTTGTGCTCTGCCCAGTCTGTGTCCTTGGCCCTCTATTTCTAACTTTGGCAGTTGAACATGGTGTCTCTTGGCAGAATCTGTGCTGCTTTTGGAACTGTCTTGCTTTCATTAACAATAGCAGTGGTCATGATGATGGAGACCAGCGTCCAAACAGGGAGTATCCGAGAGGCCAGGAGAGTCAATATAACCGACTTGCTGGGGGTCAGTTCCAGACAACATGATCAGAAAAGGTCATTGCCCACCAGAAAGGGGCAGTTCAGAAAAAGCAGTGGACAAGCTGAAAAGTTCAGGATCCTTCTCATCCGTGAGCGCAACAAACTGTTTTGATTCCCAGACAAAAAAGAGGGCTTCCCTTACATCACATTCAGACTGCCATTGTCACCTGTAGGGCTTCTGCCTGCTTGTTTGCTTGCTTTATATACCCTCCCCACCACCTCCCCAGCCCTCCTCCATCTGTGAAATGAGATTAAGCCCTGCCCTTCCACAAAATTAAGACCAGGAAATTTGTGTGTTACTATGAAATGAGATCATAGCAAATAGTAATGATTTCCTTTTTTAAGCAATTTTTTTTTATTGTGGGAAAATGTACATAACATAAAATTTACCATTTAAACCATTTGAAGTGTACAGTTCAGTGGCTTCAAGTACATTCTCATTGTTGTGCAGCCATCACCACCATCCGTCTTCAGAGCTTTTTCATCTTCCTGAACTGAAACTTTGTACCCATTAAACACTAACTCCTTGCTGCTGCTCCCGCCAGCCCCTAGTACCCACCATTCTCTCTTCTGTCTCTATGAATGTGACTACTCTAGGTACTTCATATAAGTGGAATCATACAGTATTTGTCTTTTTGTGACTGACTTATTTCACTTATTTTAATGTCTTCCTTCAGATATACACCCAGAAGTGGAATTGCTGGATCATGTGGTAGTACCATGGAATTTTTTTTTCTATACTGCTTTGCATAGTGGCTGCACCAATTTAGATTCTCTCCAAAAGTGCACAAGAGTTCCCTCTTCTCTACATCCTTGCCAACACTTGTTGTCTCTTGTTTTTTTGGTAATAGACATCCTAAAAGGTATGAGGTGATATCTCATTGTGGTTTTTATTCACATTTCCGTGATGATTAGTGATCTTGAACACCTTTTCATGTACTTGTTGGCCATTTGTATGACATTTTCTTTAGAAAAATGTCTATTCAGGTTCTTTTCCCTTTTTTAAACTGGATTATTATTATTTTTTCTAATGAGTTGTATGAATTTCCTATATATTTTGCATACTAACTCCTTATCAGATATATGGTCTGTAAATATTTTTTCCCATACTGTAGGTAGACTTTTCATTTTGTTGATGGTTTCCTTTGCTATGCAGAAACTTTTAGATTTGATATAGTCTCATTTGTTGATTTTTGCTTTGTTTCTTGCGCTTTTGTTGTCATCTAAGAAATTGTTACAAAGACCAATGTCAAGGAGATTTTTCCCTTTGTTTTCTTCTACACATTTTACAGTTTCAAGTTTTACATTTATCTTTAATCTATTTCAAGTTTTTGTGTTTTTTTTTTTTGTGTGTGTGTGAGTGGTGTAAGATGGGGTCCAAGTTCTTTTTTTTTTTTTTTTTGCATATGGGTATCTAGTTTTCCCACCACCATTTATTAAAGAGACTACCCTTTTTCCTTGAGTAGTTTTGGCTACCTTGTCAAATATTAGTTGATTGTCTATGCATGGGTTTATTTCTGGACTCTATTAGCCATTTATCTAATGATTAACATTCAGGTTTTTGCAGTTTTTTGCTCTTAATAACGTGCTGTGGTGAGCAGTCTTCTACACATGCCAGTTAACTCTGCTATTCCACTCTTGTTAACTACCACTAACTGTGTTAGTTAACAAGAGTGGAATAGCAGAGTTCTAGGGTGTGTACATTTTAAACTTGACTGCAGTTTGCCCACTTGTTCTTCAAAGTGGCCGTGCCAATTTACACCCCCACCCATGGGCAGGAGAGTGTCCTCTCCAATCCTTGATATTTCCAAGCTCTTTAGTTTTGGACAGGCTTGAAGATGAAATGGCATCTTGCTGTTGTTTCAGTTTGCATGTCCCTACGGACTAATGCATTTGAGCATCATCTGTCTGATAGGTTGATGACTATTACTTCAGGCGGACTCCAATAGCAGAATCGTTCTTGCAAGGCAGTGGGGCTGCTACTCCCTGGCTTTCAGTGGCAGGCCTTTGAGGTGGCTCTTTGGCCAACAAACCTGCACCAAAAAGCTCACCATGATATCTTGTGCCACCAGAAGATGCTGCTGAAATTTCAGTTGGCTGAGGCTGCTGTCAAAGGAGAGGAAAAAAGACCCAAACCTGGCTATGAGCAGGACGTGTGTGGAGGCTTCCAGGAACTTTAGATGCCCAGCAGTGAGTGGCAGCCCCTGGAGCAGTGGAGGGTGGGGTCGACAGAGCAGGAAATGATTCCACCAGCCACACCCCAGGGAAACACAGAGCAGCAAGTTTGCAGCAGTGAGAGTGCTAGGCTTTATTGAGAATCAGTGACACAGTCCACTCCTAGGGTTCATGAAAGCTGGACAGTGTTCACCTCTGGATTCCTTCTGATGACATGTAATCCTTGTGATGAATTTTAGATTCTGAGAGGCCCTCAGCAGAGTCCAATAGGAGTGCTGTAGCCCCTCTGCGTTGAGAAAACAGAAACGGGCAGGACAGGGAAGGAAGGGGAGAGACCTGAGAATGGTTACACTTCAGTTCATTCTGTTTTGTTTTGTTTTCTACAAGATGTTCCTCAGGAAGCTAAGGGAATCACCTTTCTTGCAGACCTCAGTTATACCCTGGTGGGAAAAGAATGAACTCACTCTGTTGCCAGAAGACTTGGGTTTGAGTCCGGCCTTTGCCACTTTGTGCCCGTTTCCTAACCTGTAACACCGGGCTAATGTTCATTCTTGCCTGCCTTGGAGGGCTCTTGTTTGTAGTGAGCAGCACTAGGTCGGAAGTCTGGACCACAAATTCTAGCTCTTGTTTTGACAGAAACTCACTGGGTAACTTAGTAAGCTCCTTAAGCTCTCTCTCCCTCAGTTTCTCAGTGTGTAAGAGGGTGTGATCTCGCCTGTTCCACAGGCTGCCATGAGAATAAAGACGACAGGGTTGTGAAGGGTTTGCATAAACACTGTGCTTCGGAGGTAGCATCCGGTGCAAAGTTGAGCACATTGTGCACGAAAGTGCCCACCCACAAACAACCAAAACTGGTTTTACTTTGGATGCTGAGAGAAGGTGCTTTTACGTGTGAACTCGGTTGGCTAGGACGATTTCTGGCCTGTCTTCTTGGGAAGCTGAGCAGCAGGATCAGAGAGGGTTTCGAAAATGGGGACAAACTCTGAAGACCAGCCAGGTGTCTTCCCGGGTCCTCTGGGATCGCGCTGCTCCAGACGGCTCGGCTCCCTTGCGCCACCTGGTGTCCCATCCCCGCCACTGCCCAGAAACCACGTGTAAGAAAGTGCTTGCAACCTAACTACGCACCCTGGTTTAGACCCACACTAGCCAATAGAGAAAGGGGAGGCGGGGCAGGGGAAAGCGAGAGTCCAATCACCTCCCGCTTTCCGAGGAGAAGGCGGGGCTTGGGATTTACCACGTTGGGTTTGTCCGCAGCGCTAATTACTTTTTCCAAAGACTGGAGGGCTCACTCCGGCTGGCGCCGCCGCCTCGCGCGCTCCTACTCCGCCGCGACCGTCCGGGGGTGGGGGGGCTGCTCCTCCCAAGTACCATGTGTGACGGCGCCCTGCTGCCTCCTCTCGTCCTGCCCTTGCTGCTGCTGCTGGTTTGGGGACTGGACCCGGGCACAGGTAGCGCTCCCTCTCCCACTGCCTCTTCTTTGCCTGTGCCTCTCGCGGCCACCTTCCCCCTGCTCTCCGGAGGCATCCTGGCGGCCTCCGCCTGCCCGCGCGGCCCGGCTCCGGCGGCGAACCGCTGACAGCTCCGGGGTCGAGGGGGCGCGGGCCGCGGCCGGAGGACTGGGCTTCGGGCGGTTGCCGGGAGGCCGCGCCGCCGCCGGTTCTCCGGACGCCGATGCCGCGGCCGCGTCCCCGGAGGTGGTCGGGCTGCCGCGCCGGAGACCGTTCCGGCGGTGGCGCGGGGCACGGGCGGAGGCTCTGGCTGGCATGGAGGTGCTGGGGCGAAGGAATGGAAGAGCGAGCCGGCTCGGGGCCGCGCTGTCTCCGAGCTGGCGCTGGATGCCCAGCGCTGGACCCTGCGCCCGGCGGGCTGGAGGGCGGGCCCCGCCGCGCTGACGCGTCTCCTTTCTCCCCGCAGCTGTCGGCGACGCGGCGGCCGACGTGGAGGTGGTGCTCCCGCGGCGGGTGCTCCCCGAAGACGTGCACCTGCCGCCGCTGCCCGGCGCTCCAGGGCCCCGGAGGCGCCGGCGCCCCCGCGCGCTCCCAGCCGTCCCGCGCGCCCGGCCCGGCGAGCGCGCCCTGCTGCTGCACCTGCCGGCCTTTGGGCGCGACCTGTACTTGCAGCTGCGCCGTGACCTGCGCTTCCTGTCCGGCGGCTTCGAGGTGGAGGAGACCGGCGCAGCCGGGCGCCGCGGACGCCCCACAGAACTGTGCTTCTACTCTGGCAGCGTGCTCGGCTACCCCGGCTCCCTCGTCTCGCTTAGCGCCTGCGGCGCCGCCGGCGGCCTGGTACTGCCCGCTCCCCCTCCGGGTCTGCCTGGCGATCTGTCGCGGCGCCGAGGGTGGGGGTGAGGGGTGGTTTCCGGGGAGGGCTGGGATTGGGGTGGGGCCTCCGGCGTGCTCTGCCGCTGGCGGGAGAGAGCACCCCCAACCTTCCAGAGGGTCGATGAGCAGAGGGCTAGAAAGGGGAAGCGACCTGTTATCAAGTACCTTCCACACTGGCCGTCCTAAGCCTCAGAGGTGCGTCAGGTCAGCGCCGATATGGAGTTGCATAGCGAGATACGCCGCAGCCCGCACAGGGAGCACATGTTCAGCAGAGATGAAATCCGTCAAGCCCCTAGACTGAGAGGTGCACTTGACCCAGGTGTAGAGAGAACGCTATTTGCATCTGCACAGGTGTGTATGTGTGCGTGTCATGAGGAACACCTATCTATATGTGTATAGCTCACCTATTCTTGGATGTGGGGATGGAGCATTGACCTCCTTTCTGTCCTTTTGAGTCTTTATGTACCTGGAAAAGGATATTTGGAGGGGTCCCCCGACGGGCCACTAACCTACTCTTCTTAGTTGAAACGTGAGAACCAGGAGAGGGAGGGTGTCTCTAATATTTTTACCTTACACTGCAAGCAGACATTTGTCTGGCACTCACCCTCAGCCAGGCCTGAGGAATGCTTACATTGGTGATGAACAATGTCATCCCCAGAAGCTCCCTCAATGTGGCAATGATTCCTCCGCCACCCCACCCTGCTGTATTTGCGGCACCCGAGGCAGTGCTCCGAGGGGTGGAGGAAGTTCTTGTGTGCCTCTACCCTGCCTGTGCTCACACTGGCTCACTTGGCTACACTGGTGCCCAGACAAACACTTCCCAGCTTCTCCATCGTGCCCCCATAGAGCGCAGATGGCTGGCAGATGGGCTGCCCCCACCTGTCAGAGCCTGGGATGGGCTCAGAGAATGTTCCTCTATCTTCTGGGGAAGTGGTTTCTGATATTCTTTTGTGTCTGTCCTTCCCTGGCACAAGAAACTGCTTCCCCCACCTCCACCTTATCTTGCTCCACCGTCTAGAATTCTCTAGCTCTTATCCACATAGTGTGCAACAAGTTGGCACGAATCTGCAACAAAGCCAGAAACCCTGAGGGTCCAAGTCTTTATATGAGACTTCTGCTCTCTTTCCAGCAGTGTAGGGGAACTTGGGGAGTAATTCCCAAGACTTGGCCTTCACCAGTTCCCCTTTTAGGATTTTTTGAATCCTCATCAGAATGTGATCTCCTTTTGCTGGGCTGGGAGAAATTGGCTTCTTTGGTTAAACAAGGAAAATGGACCGTGGAGGGGGCCTAGTAGGAGCTAATGTGGAACAGGGGCGGGGAATGTGGGCTATGGGTGAGAGGCTTAAGTAGGGGTGAAAAAGGCTCCGGTCACCAAAGGACTTGGGTCAAGCCTGTATCATGTTCTGGGAGGGACTGGAAGGCCCACATCATTTTTCCTGTTTTTGCCAAAGTGTTTAAAGTCTAGGTCACATCACTGTACTGAACATGGAAACATCTGAATCCCATTTGCTGCGGTTTAGTGAGTTTCTGTAGAGGTCAGAGTTTATACTTCTTGGTGTAAAGTTTCCAGCAAGGCGCTATCTGTGAAGGAGCCGAGGGTGGAAATCTGGATAACATTGATTTAAAATCCTCAGAGTGAGTACTGGGCCCTCTCACAGATGGCATATGAGCGGTGAGAGTTCCCTTCCGTCCTCCAGGTTTTCAGGAAGACTGTCCTTCCCTTTGGTACCATGTGAGGGCGCTGTGCTTTAGATAAAGGAACGAGGCCAAGAGGCTGAGTTCAGTGTGTGCCAACTGTGGAGCGACCTCTAAGACTTTAGATTTTAAATTTCTGCTTGAGCAGACACTTCTGTTGTTTAGTCTGCCTTGATCATCCCATTTGTGTAAGCTGGACATTGGACATTTCTTCCTAAGTACACCCTATAGAGGAAGGGCAGAAGGCCAGGAGGCCAGAGATAGCAGGTGATTTGGAGTGGACCTCTTGGTGGCAAGGTGGTCCTGCCTTTCTAGAAAAGAAAGCAACGGAACATAGGCTAACCAGGTTTGCATCGCACTCCACCTTACTTTGATTTTGGTTCCCCAACGTGCTTGAGACGGTTCAGCTGGGCGGTAATGCAGTGTTAGTCCTTCTGCACCACGGTGGAAGCACCATAGAGATGTGGCACGCCTGTTGTGTGTTTTTGAGGACTGGCTCAACCACGAGGTGTAGGGGAGGAGTGATGCCCAGTAGATGAGTTTTGGTGCCCACAGTTGGGAGCATTCCAAAGCCTGCTTGTGTCTAAAGAATCATGTAGAGCAGGGGTTGGCAAACATTTTCTGTAAGGGACCAAGTAGTAAACATTTTAGACTTTGTAGGCCATATGGTCTCTGTCACAACTAATCAACACCGCCCTTTTAGTGCAAAAGCAGCCATAGAAGGTAAAGAAACAGATGGACATGGCTGTGTTCAATAAAACTTTATTCTGATGTTGAGTATGAATTAAATCCTGCTGCATCTCACATCTCCAGAATGGCTTAGTGAGGAGTGTTGCCTGCGGGGCAGGGCATGCAGGCTCTGTTCCCTGTGCTGTCTGTCTCCAGAGACATTTGGTACCTGTTTAAAGGAGATGCATGATTAGATCATTACTTAATTGTTTATGGGTCAGGGGAAGTAAATCTCATGCTCCATTTTGCTCCCTCCCCACGCCCCGCTTTTGACAGGGGGCAGAGGGGTGGGTCTGTGGTATTTACCCTATATGTTATCTTGAAAAGCTGTGCAAGCTGCACTTTTTGGATCTTCAGAGACCGTGGGCTCAGGTATTAACTGTTTTATGTTTATGCATCTTCATTTTATTTACATTTCAGAGAGTCCTCAGAAATAACATAGGTTTTTGGAAGAGTTTCTGTAACCGTATAACTTCAAAGCGATGAACTTTGGGCATATGAGGAAGGTATTTTTCCTCCCAGAGGATTTATGTGAGTTTGGATCAGCTGCCTCGTGTGAATGGGACCAGATCATGGAAGGCCAGCAGAATTCGAAGAAACTTCAGGTTAAAGTTCACCAGAGCAGGCAGTGGAGGTGGAACTTCGGAGATAGAGTGAGTGTCAGTCTCTAAAAAGACTCTCTATGCCGCTTGTCTGAAATGAGTGGTTGGAGGGGCTGTTTTTATCCCCATACGTGAGGAGAGGTGGACAGAGAGGAGGGATCTGGTCTGCTGAGCAGTGGCCACTCTTCCTTCATGAATACTGAGCTCAGGGGAGTCCACCGCCCAGAGTCTGTCCACCCCTTCTTGGCTGAGGCCGTGGCCTGCAGGGGTGCACTATGGGTGAGATGTCGGGACCAGAGAGGATACCCAGGAGCTCTGGGCTGTGGCCCATTTTCCAGGCCACCCTGGAGGGACAGAAGGTCAAGGATAGTCCCAGCGTGCCTTCTCTGGAGTCACAGCCATGCTCCACAGGGGGTTGGCTTGTGGTCTCTCTCACCCAGGCCGCTCACTGGGGTCCTGATGGCCTGGCTGCCCTGGCTCTGTCTGGTGCCTGACCGCAGCACGGAGGCCCTTGTGGTCGTCCTTCACCTGTGCTGCTCCCCACAGTCTTAGTTCCCATAGCTCTTCCTCCCAGTCTGTAAGAATGCTCACCTTTACCATAGGGGAAGAAGTGTAGTCTAGGTAAGAACAGTGGGGCTGAGTCCAGCCAGGCAGTGAGCAGGTGGCTTAGAAGAGTTGGGGGACCGCGTTCTCAAGAGGGCAGCCTGACTTCAACGATGAAGGAGCTGGTTTGGGAGGTTGCTGCCTTTCCCTTTAGAGCTACCCAACTCACTTTTCCTTGACCCAAAATTGCCCAGCTTTTTAATGCAACATCATTTGATCACTGACAGCTGAGTAGGAATTGCTTTTGGCAAAAAGTATATGATGGGGAGACCATTTGAAAGGGAGCAAATAGACCAAGCCATGTTATCCTGCATCATTATACTGATACAGGTGTGGGGAAGGCACATAGTCCTTAGTCATTCATCAATTAATATTACTGAAGAATTTATCATGCACAGCATAAATATATTTGTTAAATGCAAAGTATTATTTTTTAAAACTTTGTAAAAAGAAACAATTGAGTGGATGTTAAGGAAAGTAGGAAGGGAAACAACAGTTGTGAAATTTAGGGTGTGGAAGAATTAAAGGGGAGAACTTGGAGCAGAGAATTCTAAGGCCTTCTACGGCCTCCTCTGGAAGGACGTTCACTCTGCCTCACGGTGACTTTCTATACCCATCGCTCATGGGCATCAGGTTGCCCATGACTGTCACCTAGTATACCTAACCCTACCTCATTATTTACCTAGGGTACGTGACTAGATTTTCCCACCTGAACTTTTATTTAGTTGGTAACATTTTAAAAAAGAAAAAGAAATACAAGATGGGATGATGAACTGAAGACGTCTTCTTAGACTGATTGCATTCTTGGAGCTTATTTCCTGAACTCTGAGACGCTGCAGCTGCCTGACTTGGATGTGTGCAACAGGAGATGTTTTTGCAGCCAGTATGTTTGAGGGAACCACTCGGAGTCAGCGGTTAACCTTTCCCCGTGCACACTTCTGCGCATGGGCACACAGTTGCACCGTCACACTCCTGTTCTTTAGCAAGTGAGACTGAACAGCCGTTCCGGGCTGTGATTTTGAGCAAGTTGCTTACCTCCTTTGAACCTCCCTGTCTGCAGCCATACAAGGGTAAATAACATTGGCTTTGTGTGGCTGTTGAGAGAATGAAGTAAGATAAAGTCCGAAATCATTTAGTGAGAGCCTGGCACATTAAGGCATTGAAAACACATTTCTTCTCTTGCCCCACAGGCCATTCCCAGGCTTTTCCAGTTATAAATCAAGCAATCAGTCAACATAGTTGACTAAATGAACAGATCATTATCACACAGCTGCCATGTGTAGGACCCGCTGTTAGGCTCCCAACGAGCCTCAAAGAGAAATACGATGTGGGCCC